TTATCCTGAGAAATCTTCAAAGAAAGAGTCTGTATATATTGGGACTTTCCTCCACTTACTTATCTCCTACCCAAACACTGTACATTCTGGAACTAGAAATTGATAGAAAAAATTCTTAGAAAGCAGGAACTTTTTAACTGTCATAAACAGCAGGAAGAGAAGAATGGAGACCTGGATTGCCTTTAGGGATCACGTTTAAGCTAAAGAAAACCACCTGTCACTGGAAAGGATCTGATCTTTAACCAAAACAAGACAAAGAGCAAGCATGGGCTATCACTGAAGTCAGGCAATAAGCCATAGTCGGTTGCTTCGAGGGCTTGGGGACAGCACTGGGGTAAGGTACACCAGGTTCACCACCACCCTCGGGCTGATGGTGTTCTACAAAGAGTTTTTGCTAAAAAGTCACCAAAGCCACTGTTTTCATTTCCCTTTCTTCAACCTTCCAAAAAAACAACAACAAACCAACAAACAAAAAATTTAGCTGTCTCCTCCAGAGCCCCAACAAGAAGCAAAAAGACCCAAACAACGACATCAGGTGGGTGTCAGATCATCTGCAAAGAGCTGCCTGCTGACTGCTAAGTTTGTGAGACACTATTCACCAAAGGAGAAGACTCATCGGGTAGGAGCCTCTCCAACCAGGGCCTGATTCACTGCCGGCTTTTCATCCCGACTCAATCCACCCTACATTGACTGCTCTCTCCAATGGACACCCTTAAGGGAAAATGCTAGTCATCTATAACACTTTCAACAATAAAGATAAATTTTTAAAAAAGAAAGAAGGAAATGCTAGTAATGTTTCTCACAAGTCTAAAATCAAGCCCTAGTATTTCTTCTTTTTAAGTCTTACCTTCTAGTTCAGAGAGAATACAGCTCACTGTGTATCTCACTAATAGGGTTCTTCTGTTATTTCGAATTCTCTTTGGGTGACTGTCCTTTAGCTAGATTGTGGGATCCGTAAGAACAGGCCTATAGGTTAACTGTTCCTCACACATAGTTTACGTGCTTAATGAATGTGTGACAAACACGGAGCAACATTATTTAAATACCATAGATAAGCCCAACTGCTACAAAATGAATGAAGTTGGACATTGGTCATATGTTGGTTACTCAGCCTCTATTCCCCCTTCTTAAAAAGCACCAATATCCTTGGAAGACTTAACCTTCCTCCACTGTATGTCATCTTCCTAAGTGGTACCTGCCTCCTGTTAGGAAAGATGGACAGCAAGTGGTCACGTGACTTGGCTTGGCCAATCAGATGCCACGCCCAGGACTTTTGAGCAGCATATAGGAAGAGGAAATGGTTGGTCGTTACCTATGATGCAGAAATATACTGATCATTTCTTCCTGTGGTTGGCCACTGTTCCACTTCCGAGCTCAACAAGAACTCCCTAAGTTCTTTATCTGGAAGGTCTGTTCACTGGCATTTTCTTCTTAATTCTCTGAGCCTGTATATTGTAGCTGCTCCAAAATTACCTTTGAGTATGTTAGCAAGTTCGTTTCTGATGTTGTAGCAAAGAACACAGACAGATTATAGAAGTAAGGATCCGATTGCATTGGCACATTCAGTTCAATTAAACCAAACAACCAAAGAAGTGGCCAGGGTGGCCTGACAAAACACTTAAATATACATTTTATTGCGCTCTAAATGTCAACTAGAACCTCTCTGTGCCCTGATATCTGGGAAAAAGTGGCTGGAGTCTCTCAATTCTATAGCCTATCAAAACCTGACATTTTTGCTCAGATTTCTGAACTTCCCCAAGCATTGTCTAGTTTTCTGCCATCCTGTGCCTTTTGGGTGTCCATTCTGCACCCTTTCTTGTAAATCACATTTACCCAGACAGGCATGTCAGCCATCTCACCAATACACACGCACACACACATACTTATGCACATAAAATAGTTGTAGTACAGTAGGAGGCAGTGTGGTTATATGAACCTCTTGGGGCCTTGGTTACCACACATCGTAAAATGAATATAATAATGGCACATGCCTCAGAGGATTGTTTTAAAAATTCAGTGGGATAATGCATGTTAAGTTTATGCTCATGATATCCTCAAATATAGTAAATATCCAACACTCCATTCCTACCCAAACTAGAAAGTTTTACCGAAGAGCTGGGTCCTGGGCAAGATCAGCACACACATCACACACATTTCAAACAAACCAACAAGTAAAGATAAGCAACCTGACCACTCTCAAAGTCCCTTACAGCCACCATGACACTGGACATTTCCCCCTTTTCCAAGCAGAGCCCAGACTCTCTGAATCGTGTCTCTTCTCCGACCTACTCCTTCCTCTGTTCACTCATCTTCCTATCTTGAACACATGTAAAAAATGCCTCTTTTGCCCTGGCCGGTTTAGCTCAGCAGTTGGAGCATCAGCCTGTGGTCCAGCGAGACCCAGGTTCGGTTCCCGCTAAGGGCACGTGCCTCGGTTGCAGTTTGTCCCCGGCCCTGGTTGGTTGTGGGGTGGCAGCCACTCGATGTGTCCCTTTGACGTCGATGTTTCTCTCTCTCTCTCTCTTCCTCTCCCTCCCTCCCATTCTATCTGAACAAAAAAAGGAAAAATGTCCTCGGGTGAGGATAAAAAAAAAAAAATGCCTCTTTTGTGCCAGGGATTTAGGCCCTTCAGCTTGCCCTTTATTCAGGCATTTTACTAAGTGAAGACATTTTCTTACCAAAAAAAAAAAAAATTATGGTTTCTGCTCTTAAAGTAATAAAATGTACTCTTATCTGGTTATAAACTAGAATACCAGTTTCCAGACCCTGGTCATTTGTATATTACCCCTGTGATACTTTTCACATTCATTGTTATTGAATATTTCTAAATCACATAACATTTGCTTTAAATAGACTTATTTTTCCATTTTAAATAAATGTATTTCCAAAGGAACTTTGTGTCACTACCATAAGTGTGCAAAATAGCATTACTTGTCATGATAAGACGGTTACCTTAAAATAATATTTATTAAAAAATAAAACGATGTTCATATACCACCTAAAATCATTACGTATTACTAGAGATCCACATATCACAATTCGGTAAATGTGAGCTTAAAATACATCCTTTGTCACAGACACCTCCAGATGTTGGACTGAGGAAGAAATGGGGGGAAAGTTTGTGGTATCTGTATGTTACCAATATTGCAGGTAGAGAGGGGGAGGGGTGAGGATGAGCACATGTTGATGGGATCAGGCTAGAAATCTGACAGAGAGGATGGTCCACAGACAAGATTCTGGGGAATGATTATCATCTTGTATCCTGAGCAATACAAGATAAACAGCACCCGACGCTAATGTTCATTTAATTGAATTGTATTCTGCCATTAGAATCCAATGCTGCTATAAATAAATGTTGAAAAGCTGCAAATGTTAGGGATCATACTCTCTGAATTATCCCCAAAGAAGTGCACTGTAACCAACTGACACAGTTTGATGCAGTGTCTAAAAGTTAAAACAATTTCATAACCTATCACCGTCAATAGATATTGTTTACTTTGGCCTTTTTTTTAAATCCTCACCCAAGGATATTTTACCATTTTTTTTTTAAGGGAGAGTGGGAGGGAGGGAAGGATGGAGAGAGAGAGAGAGAAACATCAACGTGAGAGAGACACATTGATTGGTTTCCTTCCACATGACCCCAACCCCAGCCCAAGGCCAGGGATCAGACCCACAACTGAGGTAAGTGCCCTTGACCAGGAATCAAACCTAAGACTCCTCGGTTCATGGGCCAATGCTCTAACCACTGAACCAAACTGGCCAGGACAAACTTTGGTCTTTTGATTAAATAAAATAAAATTGATATTCTCTAGATTCCACTCTGCTTTCTCTGGACAAATAATACCACATACTTTTAAAGGAAAATTAACCATATATCACCAGCTTAAAAATTTGCTTTCAAGTCCTAAGACTCTGAACCAAGTCAGCATGCTGGGTAGACAACACAATCCACGATGCTTCTGTTGAGAATGTAAAATATTTCATTGCTAAGTAGTCGGAGCCTCTTTGCACATCAAGGTGTAACAGAACTCAACTCCATTGGAAATATATGCAGTCACATCAAAGACTGGCTGATCAACAGCCTTTTACTAAATACTCGCCATGTGCTAGGGATTTCGTGCAAGACACTTCCTTAAGGAAGTCCTGGGTTTTGTACATCTTTGGAAGCCTAGTTACATTACACAAGAATTTCTGTAGGGACATTTGACAGTTCCCTTTTGTCACAGCGTTCTACACCATGAAACACAGAGGCACAGTGCCCCCGATCTATACCTGCAACATGCTTTTCCACAGGTCTCCAGTGAAAGAAATACTGTCCTGTGATTACACCAGGGTGTATTTTCACAGAACGTCTTCCAGCTATGGGTATCTCTGGCTAGTCCTCGTCCTCAGCCTCAAATGCCAATCCATAACACTCATGCCTTCCTGAATACAGTTTCCTTGCACCTTTTGGTTGTGCCAAATAAAATTGCAGCAAGCCTTTAAAGAAATAACTTCCCCAGGAGCCATCCTATTATTTGATCTCCAAGGGCAGCTGGAAATTACAGGAAAACAAAGCAAAAAGCATTTAGCTTTACATAACTATACCATGCAACATCATGCCACATAATCTAATGACCTGGTTGAAAAAAGAAATGGGCAATCAAGAACCTGCTATAGCTATTTAAATATACATTCAAAGTGTAGCTGTACAGATAGATATTATTATTTTTATGCTGTTAAATACATCTTCTTTCTTCCTGTTAGAGAAATGAGAATCTACTTTCATATAGCATATCCCCCATAGTGCCGACCTTTAGTATAGGCATCTGGGAAGATTTATAGGCATGTTTATTTATCATTTAAGCAGAAGCAAAAATGAAACACTAATACTCAAGCAGAACCACACTCATGACTGTGTATGAAATATTGAAGAAAATCCACTCCATCAGCTGTTACAGAGGGCTCGTAGTTCAAATGACCATCATTTATATGACACTATATACAGAAATGTCACATACCTCACATTAGATTCAAGTTCGTCCATTACAGGAAATAGGCATGGGTGAGCTGGATTTCAGTACCCACAGGGTCCTATAATGTGAGAATAAATAAAAAATTAGATGATCGGGGAATGTAGGAAAATACATTGGAAGAGGGAAAAAATGCCAAATACCCATTGCTTCTTCTTTATTAAGATTTTTGTAGAGTACCAATAAAGTATTTAATGAAAAAGACTACAGTAAAAAGCTACTGGGCCCTGAGCAGTGATTAGAGCACTGGCCTTCAAAACAAAGAGTTGAGGGTTCAATTTTGGTCAAGGGCATAAACCTCTGTTTGGGGTTCATCCCCGGCCCTGGTTGGGGTTGTGCAGGAGGCAACCAATTGATGTGTCTCTCTCACATCAATGTTTCTCTCTCTCTCCCCCTCCCATTCTATCTGATGATAAAATGGAAAAATATCCTCAGGTAAGGATTTTAAAAAAAACTATTGGCATACTGAGGTATGGCACCACTGATGTTGCAAAAAGTTTTTATATATATATTTTACTAATCTCCTGGAGATTAAAACATACCGGTACTTCCTTTTTATTCTGTGGTAATCAGTTTATTTGTTATTTTTGTACTCTTCCCAGAAACGGCTTAGTTATATGATCTGCATCAGGACATTGGCTAGTGAAACTATGTAACTACATTGTTATGATTAAACTAGTACATTGCTTGAAATGGTCAATCACATTGTTTTCTATAAAGATTTTCAAATTTTGCTAAACCCTTTTTGAGGGTGGGTAATCATGCATCCCTTTGAGAATGCAGTAAACTCCAGAGAACTTTCTACCCAGAAAAAACCAGAAGTGCTTGCATGTACATGCACACTTTTTGGGGAGCCCACGATACCTTGAGCCCCATCCATAAACCCCAGGCTGAGAACTCCCAGTCCAAGGGAAGTTGACTTTCAAGCTATCAAAAGTTCCTCTAGCACAGACTCTCGGAAGACCTTACACCCTTTAACAGATGGACACTCAATGATATTCACTCAATAGACTCAAACCTGACTGCACAGTGTTATATTTCAGGAGAATTCTTGCTTTTCAACACATTTGTGCCACAGCATGAAGACTCTGAGAACAGAAGGGCGCAACCTGCTCCGCTGCTTCTGAGGTTACCCTCAGCAAGTCCCTCTTTTGTTCTGAGCTTCATCATCCACTTCTCAAAAGCAGAAAGGACTGGCAGAGATGATCTCTGGGTTCACTTCCAGCTCTGATATTCTATAATTCCATCTGCTGGTTTTCTAATCAAATCTAAGCAAGATGAAACTGTAAATCTGTTTATCTACATCACAGAACCATGGAACTCAGCCCTGGCCCTGGGGTGCCTTGGTCGGGGTGGACCAAACACACATGCCTGGCAGCCAAGAAGAGCGCGGCAGACCACCAGAGCTGGGAGGGATGTAGGTCTCGTTGGGTTTTACAGTGTTTGTTCCTTAGAGACTCTGAGATTAACAGGGGCTCTTGTGGGCATTTCTGGGTCTGAGGCAGGCGTGGGGAAGGCTCAGCCTGCAGGTCTCTGAACCCCGACTCTGACCTCATGCCAAGCAGCTCTGTCCACCTCTATCTTCTACATTTGAATTTGGAATAATCTTTGACTTGAAATATTTAAGTACGAAGCCCTAACAATAGAAGAGGCAGGTCCCCATCCTCGTTCCTCCTCTATCTAAAATCATCTCCTGAAATAATCACCTCCATTTCCATGGCTTAAAAATACCACCTATTCAGTGAAGGTTCCCAGAATGATAGCTCCAGCCTAGGCCTTTCCCAGACTCGTACTGCCCACCTGACATTGCAGCTTGGATGATACAAAGCATTTCTAGCTGAACTCTTCGTTTCTCACTCCCAACACAAAACCTCCCCCTCGCCTAGCACTGCCCATGTCAGTAAATAGTTCCAGCCTTTACTCAGTTGCTAAGACCAACCTACCTCTTTTTCTCACATCCTACAACCAAACTATCAGCAAATTCATTCTCTCTACTTGAAAAATGACTCCTTAATCTGATTTTTTCTCATGACCTCCAGAACCAGCACCCTGCCCAAGCAAGCGACCACCTCCCTTCCCTGGAACACCGCCCCACCCCCAGCTGGTCCCCTGCTTGCCCCACACTGTAGTCTCCTCTCCCCACGGTAGCCAGAATAATATTTTTAAAATGTAAGTCAGATCATTTCTTGCCTGCATAACATCCTAGTGGCTCCCTGTCACACTTAGAATTAAATCCAAACTCATATCATGGCCAACACAACCTGACATGACCTGGCCCCAGCTCCTCTCCAATCTCCACTTTAGCCATGGCCTACCCCCTCACTGCCTGAGCTTGTGGGTGTTGCTACTTTCTGACTATGAAAGTAGGCTCTCACTTCAGGGCTTTTTCACTTACTGCTTCTTCTCCCCAGAATGCTAGACACTCCCTCGGGTCCTTAGGGACACTGCTCCAAAGTTACTTCCCACAGAGTTCTTCCTTGATCATCTAATAAAATGTCAGACCTCATTTTCTATGAGTTTCTATCCTCTTTATCCACTCTATTTTATCTTACTAGCACATATATTACCTGTACTCAATTGCTCCTTTATTAGTCATCTGTCTCCCTCACGAGAATATCATTTTCAAGAGTGTGGTTATATCTTGATCGCTAATATATATATATGTGTTATATATACCCTCAGTGTCTAGAAAAATGTTTGATATGTTCACTTCATAGATATTTGTTGAGTCATCAAAATAGTTAATTTGTTTTGCAAATGAGGAAACTGAGGTTTGAGAATTTGTGACTTTCTCTCTGGGAGGTAATGCACGAACTATCATCCCAGAGTAGAATATTATAATTTTTAAAAGTAGCAAAAATCATTTTATTTTATTAAGTTACCCTTTATTAAGTGTTCACAAGTGTCAGACACTGTCCTATTTCCTCCTCTTCCAATCTCTGAGTTTGTATCGCTATGCTAGATGAAGAGACTGAAGGTCACACAGGTGAATTGACTTGCCAAAGTCTCACAGCTAGTCCTTGCCCAAACTGGGAGTAGAACCCAGGGTAGTGACTTCCCAAACCCAAGCTTTGTCTTGCATACTCCTTGTCAACTAGAGGAAGGGGATCTCCTGATGAAAGTGGACATCTGCTGTGATTTTCTGCTGACCGTTGATTCCCTCTTTCTCAGAAAACAGTGCCTTGATTTTCCTTTGCAGAACTACCCCTCCCCTGCCTCAACCCCTAGCTCCAGTGATGAGCACATGACTAGGACTGGCCAATCAGAATGGTCCATTCCCTGATCACAATTAGTCCATCAGCTAGACTAGTGAAAGCCAGACCTGGGATTTTTGCCAGGAAGAGTCTCTTTTTCCTCCGTGTTGCTAAAGTGATAGACTTTCAGTTTGAGGTTACTGGTGGCCATCATTGTCACTTTGTGGGGTGAGCCTGAGAATGAAGTTACTCAAAGGAAATCAGAGTTGCAACACAGAGAATACCAGTGTCCTGATGACATAATTTGAGGCTTAACATTCAGCAGCATCTTAAGACAGTTTTATACTTGAATGAGCCAACAAATTCCTTTTTTTCCTCTGTAAGCCAATTTGACTTGGGTTCCAACCATTATTTGCAACCAAAAGAATCCTGTGTAATATATCATAAAAGCAATATTGTGTTTGTATACAGATTGGGGGGGGGGGGGTTGGAACTAAGGAAAACCAGTTAAAAGCTAGTAAAAGTTCATCTCACTGAAGCTGCATTTGAAAATGTTACAACATGGGGAAAACCTTATATATTCATAGTGTGGAAATTAGTAAAGGAAATCTCAGCTGAAAGTGGCATTGGGAAGGCCTACAGAAGGAGCCTTCCTGCCTTACGCTAAACAGGAAGAGATCACCTTGCATTTCCAACAGGAGGACGTATCTACTTTAGTACCCCTGCAAGAGGAAGGAAGATTTTCGTCTTGCCCAACAACATGCCCAGCCAATGGAAACCGCTGGGCTCAGCCAATGAAAAGTCATCATCACCCAGCACTCTTACTCTCCTCCAATAAACTTTTATTTTTCTTTTACTAACGACTTCCTTGCCCTACCCTTTTGTCTTTAAAGGGTTACTCTGCTTGCTAGATAAAATGCTGCCCAATTTGTGCATCATTTAATAATGCCAATTAGATCTTCAAATCTGCTCAGTTGAATTTAGTTTTTAGCAATCATGCTATACATTGTTATATTTTGCTCATCTAAACCCAATGAGCAAACTGAAAATGATTGCCATGTAGCAAGCCAGTGAGACAGCATGCATTTTGTCAGAGAGAAAGAAACAGTAACAAAAGAGAAGTTGGTGACTAGTACCTATTCTGATTTGATGGATTGCTCACTGTCCACTATTTTCTGCTGTGCTCACCAGAGGTAACTTATCAGAGCCACAACTACAGGGACACCTCTTGTTAGAAAGACTGCATCGAGTGAGAGGGGTTTGCAAGGAAGCAGTGTTTTTATCTTGCACACTTTTATTTCAATCTCCTTAACAAAACACTATCTAGTCATTAAATCAACTGAGAGCATCTCCTATGCTCAGGTACAAACACTATGTCACTTCTAAGTTGTCAGTTTGGAATGCAATTAAACTGTGTGTGTGTGTGTGTGTGTGTTTTAGTGATAGTCATGCTATATCCAATGATCTGGTCTAGGGGACAAGGAATGATACCCCCTATGTTGATCCCCTTCAGAGAAACAGTTCTAGATAATAACCAGAAAAAGAACATGGCAAATCCCGGAAAGGAGCGGGAGAGGGAATCAAGCAAACCCCTCTACCATGTAAAGTACAAATAAAGGTCTCAGTATCTTTCAAGGCGAGGACAAGCTCAAGCCACTGGAATTATTCAAAAGTAAAGCTACAGCAACAAACAACTCTATCAGATTCCTTGGAGCTTCTCCTTGATGAATACATTCAGATTCTGATCTTTCCTTAAAAAAGGGGGGGAGGGAAGACATTTTATTTATGCCATCCCACGCCTATTCCAACCTTTAGTTTTCTGGCTCATGCATCTAAAGAGCAAACCCAAAAGGTAAGTACACCCCAT